ATCCCTATCACCAGCTGAGGAACTTGGTAGATATGTGCATCAACCCCGACCCGGAGAAGAGGCCGGACATCACCTACGTGTACGACATTGCCAAACACATGCAGAACATGACACAGGGCAGCTAAGCCCAGAGTTACACACACTATGCCTTGCAGAACTCCTCCCCACAGCCCTCCTCGCTTTTCATGCTGGACTCGTAATACACCTTTCAGCTTATTTTCAGAGTGTAGCTCTGGAGTAAGTAGTACATGTAACAGATTGTTATTTTCAAGGCGGTGGTACAGTCTGTAACGTGACTGACACCCAAACCTTCTCTGCCCGAGGATAAAGATTATAGAGATTACACTTTTTTGTCCGTGGATCTCCCATTCCTTAGACTTCAGTCATATTTTTACACTGAGAATCAGTGTATTGTAGCCCACTGACGTGTTGCTATGGCTTTAAAAAGCGTGTCATTTTTTTCTCATGTAGTGAAGTGAAGCCGTCCTTCTGCAGCTGCTATTAGCAGATATACTGGTAGGAAGCAGGTATACTGGAAACAGATAAAATTTGCAAAATTATAACATTCAGTGTTTTTCAATGGAACAGTTAAGTCAATGCGATTCTTACTAAATGTGACCTTGTAGGCTTTTGATGTGTCAGATGAGACCTATTGTTGTTAAATGGCACGAAGAACGACCATGAAAACCTTTAGCGAAAGTTGGAGTGAAGAGATGTTCACTCGATGACAGCAAATCTGAGATGTAACGAGAGTGTAAGTGATGGTTGAAGTGTTGTTGTGTTGCACTTTTTACCCTGGTACTGGAAGGCTGGCAGGGTGATCACGTCTAATGAATGTATTAGAAAAGGAAGGATCGTTGTAGAGGGTAGACTAGAGACGTGCTAGGGGGAGAACATGGGCAAATGTCTGCACAACACTTTGAATGTAAGTCGTTTTGACACCTATGTATTGTCTTTGAAAAATTCAGAATGCGTCTTTTTTTGACAGCCTAGAAGGCATGGAAGCTGTAACAAAAGCGGTTTTACATTTTGCTGTTTACCTTCGTCACTGACTCCCAAAATATTTCCTCCTTAGTTCAGCTTAGGTGAAGGTGTACTGCTATTACACAACGTTAGGTTTTGTAGGACTGGTAAAGTCACCAAAATTAAACTCCATCGTGGTTGTATTTGGCCCACCAGAAAGGTCGTCTACCTGTACAAAATGGTAGTGTTTTAAACTACAGGGTGTTAATAAGCACTTTCCAAATGGTTAATTAGATATTTACGAGCTCTTACAAGATGTCGGATTAACACAAGAAGCACAAACAGTTTACAAATGTGGTAATAAACCATTTACAATGTATTACCAGATAGTGTTGTAAATGCTAAATGTTTGCATTTAAACCTACCATCAATAAAGATGTAAAAAAAAAAAACAAGAGCAACATATAAACTAGTGAACATATAAGGGATTATTTACAAAGGCAATAATAAACTGTGTATTAACAGAGCAAAATGATCAACAACATTTATACCGTCTGTTTTATCAGTTTGATAATTGATCAATAAAAAAATGCAAAAATTGAACTTTTTATTGTCCATCTGGATATTTAGATGTATCTGTACAGATATGCAGACGTTAGAGAGACGGATATAGACGGACACGTAGGCAGTGTTTACAGACTTGAGATCGTAAACTGTGTCTGTGTTCAAACGTGGACTCTTGTATCCGCTGTTTTGTAATAAAGAAAGTTCAATTTTCAAATCCTGTACATTGTATTGTGTTGTTATTCACTGACAGTTACGTAGATAGAGAGTATACACAGCACCTGGAGCTGCAAAAAAAAAACAAACTCAAGCTGATAAACTAGATGTAATAAATGTGTTAGTTTATTACTTTGTTATACGTCATTTATTATCACCTTTATAAACGATGAGCTATACATGGAGAACATTTGTTTTCTATAAATAAACACGAGTGTAATGCATGAATTAAACGTTTCCGACCGTTTTTTTTTTTTTTCCAAGTCTCTGCTTGTAAGGGCTTGTACATATCAAATTAACCGTTTAGTAAACGGTTTATTAACATAACTTATTCTGAAGCGTTGCCACCAACAGCGTCTTTTTAACTAACTAGTCTGAGATCCTAAAAAGGAAATAAGAGGAGCATCAACATCCAGAGCAACTTATACACATATAAGTTTATGAAAGGTTTATCAAGGAAAGAGGAAATCAAACGTCAATGGGACTAATTTAGTTTTGCTGTACATAGCAAAGAGTAAACCCCCCGCTGAATGAATAAAGGGTTTCAGTGACCTGTTATGCATTTGGAAGGGTTTTTGTCTGTTTGTTTGTTTGTTTGTTGTTTTTACAGTGAGTCGGTTTACACCAGCGGGTCACAAGTGATGACCGCCGCTGGTTTACACAACAACAACGACGTCGAAGGTGTAGTCGGTGAACAGTGATTGCTTTCTTTCAGTGTCTTATGAATTCTCCTTTAACATTGTCAAATAGCCTGTTAGCCCTCCATCGAACGCCCACTGTTTGTACTGATCTTTTTTTAATTAACATTTAATGCTATTAACATGTTCTATACAACATCAAAGCTTTTAGGTGCAGGAAAAATGTAAGTTATTCAGTTTTGGTTAACAGAATATTTTGATGTTATTTGTCAGAGACTTGCAGAGACAGTGTTTGCAACTTTTCCTTTGTAATCGAACACCTTGTCCTGGATTGTGTTCCTTTCCTCTTGCTTTTCATTCCCACAGCGACACAATGGTTTTTATCTTTTCCCTCATTTTGGTAGTTATCCTAAGTTTTCATCATCTCCACCCCAGTAGTCAGTCTCCTATCCTGACGCTCTCTGAATGACAACGTCGGCACCAAAACGTTTCAGTATTCTGTCGTATTTACAGTGAAGCAAACGCTTTAAAGCACTTTTTAGATGTTTTAGTTTTGATGCGATACAGAATTCCCTAAATTGGTCGTCTGCAGCAGAAAAATACCAAAAACTGATTCTTAAACGGTTTAAGGGAAACAGAGTCTCGTGTTTAAGTAAATGCAGCACATGATGCAATGATAGTGGCTTTAAAATTCACATCGACGGCCTTTCACGACACCAAAGTAGCACAGCTGTAAGGAATGTGGCTGCATCTGTGCGGGATCGGTTGTGTTTTCTGTTTACCTACAGAAGTGTAGATCCTCACTCGGGGGTTGTTTAATACACACAGTGCTACGTCACTTTAACAAATATGACTTCTTCTTGATTTTGTTTTTGTCTTTATTCAATGTATGACATCGCTCCAGTGTGCCCCAGCCCTGCTAGCGTAGCCCAGTTTGCTTTTATGCATGCCCTTTGAAATTGATATCCAAGAGTCCAGTTGTTGTCCAGAAAGTAAAAATATTGGCAAATGATATTTATTGTCTTGGTAGTTTAGGTGTTGTCTGAACATTTCATGTCAAAATAAATACCCACAAACACCTTGTATGCAAACTAAATGTAATAAAGCTTTGAAATTTCTTTTGGACAGAACGAGTGAGTGTTTGAAGCTTTTACTGGGTTTCAATGGGTTCCACTTCTCATCGAGTCAGAACAGGCTTTGGTTGGACACATGTCCAACAGGGCACCACTTGGTTTTCCAAAAATAAGCAAAAAAAAAAAAACACAAGACAAATGCGCAGGTTAATGCAAGCTGCCAAGCATAAGACCAAACCAACGTCATCCATTTCCAGAGCTACAGTTCCTGACGGGTAGTTGGAGATCAATGCAGTTTTCCAGACTACAGGCGAACTCCACCGACCTGATGGTGAGTATGTTCATGTAACTTGGAAGTGGCCACTTGGAATCGACCACATCCTCCAGATTTGAGGAAAATGCAACTGCACTTGGGTCAATGCTTTATTTGAACTCAAGTCAAATTTATTTATAAAACACATTTGAAACTACAGGGGTTGAACCAAAGTGCTGCACTGTTACTAATAGCAACTCGTAAGACAAACACAATGACTGGAAGACAAATCAGAATAAAAACACAATAAAATTAAGAACAATAAGAGACACAACACGATAAACGATGAAGCTTTGCTTTGATGAAATGCTAAAGACAGGAAATGAGTCTGCAGCAGTGACCGAAAAGTTTCTAAAGTCTCCGCAGTTCTTCCATGAAAACTAAACCTTAATACAATTTAATCATTAAGGTGTATTTATGTGCAGAAAAATCCCCCCACAGTTGTCAAGAACAGGAACATTGTGTGCAGTGAGTTTGGACATCTGAACATGGGGCTCTATGGGGCCTGACTCACTTCTGGTGCCAGCCTCAAGTGGCTGTTTGAGGAACTGCAGTTTCTGACACTGCTCCAGAGGTTTCCGCCTCAACATCAGCTCCTCTGATGCTGGTGTTATTCCAGACTTTTAAATTAGGCCTCACATGTGGTTGGTGGATGGCTACGATGAAACACGGGAAAGTTTACGTAGCCGACTGAATTCAGCAAAAACATGAACATCCTGTGCAGCCCATGTTGGTTCACACAACTCAGGGCTCAGATCAGATCCATTCTGTAAACCCTGCAGTGTTTTTCTTCTGTTGTCTAGTTTGGGATGCTGGACATTCACCAGTCGAGATAAGCATTTGAATGCAGTCATTCTGTGTCATACTGTACTGGATACTGTCGCATGTTTCTTAACTTGACACGTTGATGAGGCTTCCCTGAAGCCACCATGAAACAATTTATACCCAAGCAAGTTCTAAACACACCTAAAACGAATGTGTGTAGCATCCCTAATGTTTAATCAACTATTCTATTCCACACTGTTGACATATGGATGGATGGATGGATGGATAGATAGATGGATAGATGGATGGATGGATGGATGGATGGATGGATGGATGAAACCTTTGTGTGCCATTGGGATTTAGTTGATTTTATTTTTTACTTTACTTTTTAAATTTTTAAATTTATATATATATTCCTTTCTTTCTCTTTCTCTCTCTCTCTCTTTTTTTCTTTTTCAACCAGACATGACTTAAAACAGGGCTGCAAGGTGGAGCAGTGGTTAGCACCGTCACCTCACAGCTAGAAGATCCCCGGTTTGTGTCCCGGTGAGGACACCCGGGATCTTTCTGCGTGGAGTCTCCATGTTCTCCCCGTGCAGTGTGGGTTCTCTCCGGGTTCTCCGGCTTC